ATAAATTCAGATAAACTGTGACAAGAGAACATAAATCTGAAAAGCTGCATGCGGAACTATGACGTGAAAAAAAAAAACTGAAAAAAAAAAAAAAAACACGCCAAAACTAAACACACTGACCATGGAAACAAGACTTTCAAAATAAAACAGGAAACATGGAGAGATGTAGACATGCTAACAAAAGCTCGATAACATGAAACATGCAGACGAGAACTACATGACAGGCTGGGGAGACACTAATTTGAATAAAATTAGGCTAAATTTTAAATCAAGGCAACAGGGTAGGACAACTTTGTATAAACTGCCACTTCTATGACCAAAAAGAGAATTCAAATTGTGAAAAATTTAGGTAGCATTTCAGGTAATGCAGTACTAGTTCATCCCAGTTTAAATAAACTAAACTGTACCTTTAGACGTAAACATGAGGTATTGACATACTTCTGTTATTGACATTGTTCTGTCACAAGCTCTCCATCCGGAAGTCTCTCACATTAGTAAATGCAAAGAGTCTCATTTCCATTCATGAATCACTTTTAGACCAAAAAAAGCCATGAGAAATGATTACATATAGCCACAGTCACAGTGAAACCCCTGAGGAGAAACGCTCAGAAAGTATTTTAAATAACACAGTTGGGACGATGGATCCTTATTTTGATAGTTTTCTTTTCTTACCACGCCCTTGTCTAAATTCTTTTTCAAAATGCAATTATTTTATTTCCAAAGACTATTTCATAACCAACAAGTGTGTCCTTCACAGTCTTGAATTCTGCAAAACCACCACTATTTTAGGTCCCAGATAGACTGTGATAACGGATCCATATTTCTTAAATACCTAAGAACAGCAACATTTGGTCTTCCGATGTCTGTGAAAATATGGACATATGCTGCTGTTCTAAGGAGAGATAAATCATCCATGGGGAGAAATAACAAGACAGAACAAAACAAAAAAAGAAAATAAAAACCATTTTTTTGTATCCATACATGATCCATCTTTTGTCTAACTAATAAAAAACAAAAACAAATTCTTTTACACACACATCCAAGAAAACATCAGTACTGATGATTCTGGCGTACATTTCTATGGCAAATTACTCTTATTGTTTAGTAGAAAGAAAAAAAAACAGAAGGAAAAAAAAGATTACACCCAGATGATTCAGTTCTTTGTACAGGCTAGGACAACTTTTGTCAAGAATTTCTCTCCATCACATACAGGAAACAGCATACAGTTTGTGAGGTGAAGGTCCGAGAGTAGCGCCCACACTTGGCGTGAGATCCAATTCGTCCTCTGAAACTCCAGGTGCAGGAGCGAAATGAAAATGCTGCAGGAGGGTGCTGAAGAAGAGGAAGAGCTCCATCCTGGCCAGACTCTCTCCGAGGCAAACCCTGCGACCTGTAAGAGACAATTGAAGAATAACTTCAGCTGTCCTGTCAGTAGATGTAACCTAAGCAATGATGGCTGAGCTCACAAAACTGCAGAAAATGGAATGAAGGCATCTCACTTAACAAACTTTTTTTCTTTGTCCAGGAAGTGAGCAGGATAAAAGCTGCGTGGCCTCTCCCACTCCTCTGGATCATGCAGGACAGGTGTCAAGAAAGGAAACACAAATTACAATACAGAAATGGAAAATCCTCTATATGGGGAATAATAACGAGAAGGCAGTAGGCACAAAAAGGACCGGAATGAAAAGAAACAGCACATACGTGTTTTCTAAGGCCAATCATTCCCCTCTTTCTGCAGTTGCTTAACAACCTGCCTTCAAGATTCAGTTTTATGCATTCAGTTAAACCAATGAGAATATAGGAGGTGGGTTATTCAGTCTAACCTTCTCACTTTATCGAGAAGGTTAGACTGAAAAGTGATGTCTCGGGTGGTTTTGTGGGGAAGTGTAGTGGGGATGATGCTGCTCAGTCTCTGTATCTCATGGATGACGGTGTCAGTGAAGGGAAGACTTTTCCTGTCAGCAACCTGCACCTGTTGGTCTTCTATGACCCTCCTCAGCTCCTCCTGGACCTCTTCTGGTACATGAAAGACAAAGTGGACACATTTTATCTCTGAAAACCCTAAGCTATAGTCAAGAAATGCAATTTACATCACTTCTTTCCTTTGATTTTGTTATGGTCACTCCTTCCTGTCCATTGGCATTTTCAAATTGAGGATTACTCAGGCACCTCACCCTATATCTTTGGATATTTGGCTATAAGCAGAAGTGCCCATCTCATCTCAGTGTTTGCCGGCAGCAAACAGATTCATTACTGTAATTAAAAGGTTATCATCATGGAAGTGACTTTTGATAATCCCAGCCTTCTGCACATAGACATTTAACAGCAAAGTCACTAAAATAAAGTTTAAGGAGCTTCAGTAGTATGAAAAAAAAAAAAAAAGTTGTCCAACACTTATTTTACATTTACTTCAAAGCTCTGTGATGCAGGTTCAAGAACAAAAGTTATTCTTTACAAAAAAAACCCAAAAAAACCAAAAACACCACTATGAAAATAATCTCTCTCTATTGATTAACAGAAAAAATTGCAACACGTTGCACATAGACATTAACATTAGCAAATGATTGAATCATCATATTCAAATCTGTGTCCATAGACAATGGAGCAGATTATGTTAGAGACTGCACAGTTAATTGGTTGGGTTGTATCAAAAGCTTCTCCTGTGCCCTCCCCCCCAAAAAAGGAAAAAAAAGATATTTAAGTAAAATTTCAGATAATACTAGTTCATCCCAGTTTAAACAAACTCAACTGTACCTTTAGATTTCTTGAAAATATCAATAGGTATTGACATTCCTCAATAATCTTGTCTTCACATGCAAACATGCAATCAACAAGTGCCTCCTTCACTGTCCTGTATCCTGCCAGTACCACCACTTTTTTAGGTCCCAGATAGATGGTGAAGACTGATCCATATTTCTTAAATAACTAAGAACAGTGGAGTATGTTGATATTTTCACAGACATCGGAAGATCAAAGGTGAAAAAGCTGCCTGGAGAGATAAATCAACCACAGGGGGGGAAAAAATCCCTGAAAAGTTGCCACAAAAAAAACTGACCTCCATTAATGAGATATCAAGTCTTTTCAGGTCCAGCTGCAGAAGATTCCCCAGTAGGGGAAATACTCTCGGTCCTGGAGGCTCCTTTACATTTCTTTTGGAACTGAAGCTTGAGGAAGAGATGAAGAGGATCAGTATCAGCACAATCAGAACCATTACTAAGAAGACAGAGTTTGTTGACTCAATAAAAACAGCATCTATTGTCCCCATGGCCTTGAAAGAAAATATCTAAAATGTGTTATTTGAACTGAAAGAGACAATTTTTTTTCTCAGAATGTTTCAAAATTTATAGAAAAACTATTTTTTTAGACATTGTCAAAGAGCAAGAAACATGTATATAAACCACAGCTAGCACACTAGACTGTGACTTCTGTGGTAGTGAATTAATTGCTTAATGACTGGCAGGTGGGTTGAAGAGAGAGAGACAGACTCAAAGGCTCTTGATGCTGCAGCTGGAGCTGGTGTGGTGCCTCAGGTCCTAGTCTGCACTATACAGCATACTTTCTCTTTTAGTGTACACTTCTATAATTGGCAAATTCTGATCTATAATAATACCTAGATACTTTTAAGATGTGAACAATTTCAGCACCTTGAATTGTTTTATTCTTAGGAAACAACTCTGCCATTTGAGAACAACATGAACTCGGATTTGTCTACATTTAACACCCTAAGTTAAGTTAAATGGGACTGAACAACATCAAAGGCAGACTGCAGAAATTCAAGGGTTTGTGCTACTGTAGGAGATGAAGAATAAATAGTTGTGTCATCTGCAAAAAGATGGAATGCTGCATTTGATAAATTATCAGAAAGGTTATTCGTATAGAGATAAAGACCAACGGTCCTAATATGAAGCCCTGAGGAACTCCTTTGGGTACTGGGAGAAAAGAGGAAGGAGGAAGTAATTTGACAAAGAGATTAAAGATAAACAAATATTGTTTAGTCTGTTTACTAAAATGGCATGGTTATTGTGTCAAAAAGCGTCAAGCTTCCAGTCAAGAAAAAGAGCAGCACAGTATTTTTTGCAGTTCATTGCATCAATAATATCTGTTCTGCCTTTTATAACTTAAATTGGATATTATAGTTGTAAACTGCCCTAGAGCTCCCTCTAGTGGCTGCTTTGTAATATGAGTTTGGTTACTTTGGAAAGGGGAAAAAATGAGAACGTGAAGAAGAAATAAAAGATGGCGGAAAGTGATACCGTAATGTTATCGTTCTAAGCTGATACGGACCTTAATATGTTGTTGCCTTGGACAAGATATGTCTGTAAGTATGAGTGTCGATAAAATATTTATTATCTTTGGTTTTGTGTAAAAATGGTACGATAACTTGTACATTTGAAAGTTTTATCTTGTTAGCTTGCAGTAAGAGTGTAACAAGCTAGTTTACAATGTTAGTTAGCTAATACAGTATTTTGTACTTTCAGTTTTACGATGGTCAAAGAGAAGGCAATGGTCAGAGGCCATTCTTCAATAAATCAGCGCAAAAAGGAAAATAAGTCTGGTTATTGGAGCATCGTTATCTCACTGTCTAGCTGGTGAAACTAAGAGACTCAGGGCGCAGACACACAGTAAAAAGACATTAGCGCAGCGGGCAGGAGGAGTTATTTTCAGCACATCAGTTATGAGTCTACGGTCAGGAAAGCAAAATCAACTGGATCTTCCAGAAGAGGAAGAAACACCAGACCAAAGAGAAACAGAACAAGTGCACAACGCAGTGGATATGGAGAACAAGGATAATGCAAGCAACGCAGACACACAGGGGGAGTCTAGACGCTCGCGTACATCCAAGCGTTCATCCACAAGTTCTGCAGCACTTAAAGCACGAGCAAAAGCAGAGGCTGCACGTGCACAGCTGGCGTATTCAGAAAGAGAAGCAGCTATAATGAAACAAAAAACTGAACTTGAGGCTAATTTACATGTTTTGAGTTGTCAAAAGGCTGTTGCAGTTGCAGAAGCAGAGGTTGCAGTTTATGAAGAAGAGGAGGAGTGACTCTCAAAAAGTGAACTGCGCTATCCATTGGTGGGACCACCCGCTAGTTCAAAACAACGCACAGCAGAGTATGTACAAAAACACTCAGATATTTCCCTTGAAGAATTCAAATTAAAAGTAGATCCACTTGCCTGTCACAAAGCTGCACGTGAACAATGCGAAATGGCTATGAATGCAGATATAGACAAAGACGGCTCACATAGTGCTCAAAAGGCTAATGTTAAAGTGGAACTCCAAACACAACAGAGAGAGAGACTGGATTCCCCCAAACCTTATCCGTACGACACTCTTCAAACATCAACAGAGACACAGGGTGTCCAGGATATTACAAGGTACCTGACACAGAGGGAAATGTTAAGTACTGGACTTTTGCAGTTTGATGACCACCCAGAAAACTACTGGGCGTGGAAGGCATCATTTCAAAGTGCTATTAAAGACTTGCATGTTACAGCTCAAGAGGAGCTAGATTTAATGGTCAATTGGCTTGGAGTTGAGTCTGGTCACCAGGCCAAAAGAATCCGATCAGTCCATGTCTTTAATCCAGCTGCAGCTCTCAACCTTGTGTGGCAAAGACTCGAGGAATGTTATGGATCTCCAGAAGTGGTAGAAAATGCACTGTTAAAAAAGATTGAACAGTTTCCCAAACTAAACAACAGAGACAACACAAAGTTAAGAGAGCTGGGTGACGTTCTTCAGGAAATAGAATGTGCAAAAGATGGAGGATACCTACCAGGCCTCTCATATTTGGACACAGCTCGCGGAGTCAACCCCATTGTGGAAAAGTTACCATATGGGCTGCAGGAAAAATGGATTGCAACAGGAGCAAAGTACAAAGAAGAACATAAAGTTGTTTTCCCCCCTTTCAGTGTCTTTTCAAAGTTTGTAAGACAACAAGCCAAAATAAGAAACGACCCAAGCTTTGTCATCACACCTCCTGCCGACACAAGCTTCAAGAAGGAGAAAAGCTTCAGAGGCAGTAACAGGCAAGTGATTAGTGTACACAAAATGGACATTCCTACAGACACTAGTTCACCTCAAAATAGTTACAGCAAGCCTATAGAAAGCCCTGACAAGGTATGCCCAATACATAAGAAGCGTCACCCTTCTTAAAAGGTGCAAGAGTTTTAGAGCAAAGCCCATAGATGAGAGCAAGTCATTTTTAAAAGAGAACAGAATCTGCTTTAAATGCTGTGGCTCTACTCAACATCTAGCAAGGGACTGCAGGGCTCAAATAAAATGTATGGACTGTGGTAGCGACAGGCATTTAGCAGTGCTACATCCAGGTCCACCCCCTGCTCCAGCTGAGAGCTCTGGAGCTGATAAAGATGATGGCGGGGAGACACAGGATAGTTCAAATGCCTCAGTTGTTTCCAAATGCACAGAAGTCTGTGGTGATGAAGATAGCCCACATTCATGCTCAAAAATAAGTCCTGTGTTAGTCTATCCAGAAGGCGAAAAAGAACAGGCTAGAAAGATGTATGCAGTGCTTGATGAACAAAGTAACAAGTCACTAGCTAAGTCTCAGTTTTTTGAGCTCTTTAATATTAAGACACGCTCAGAGACTTATAAGCTCAGAACATGCTCAGGACTGTCAGATAATGTCGGCAGAACGGCAATAAACTTCATGATTGAGTCAATGGATGGTAAAGTAAAGCTCCCACTCCCAAACCTGATTGAATGGGACATGATTCCAGACGACAGAAGAGAGATTCCCTCTCCACAAGTGGCCATGAAGTTCCCACACTTACAGAAGATAGCTGAAAAAGTACCTCCTGTAGAAGAACAAGTACCTATTCTGTCGCTTTTGGGAAGAGACATTATACAGGTACACAAAGTCAGAGAGAGAATCAGTGGGCCACACAATACACCTTATGCGCAGCGTTTGGATTTAGGCTGGGTTATAGTTGGGGAAGCCTGCATGGGAAAGACGCATAAGCCCCCTAGTGTGAGTGTTCTCAAAACACATATTCTTCAGAATGGCCGTGCTTCTTACCTCTGCCCATGTCCTAACACGTTTCAAATCAAAGACCAGTTAAACACCACACCTAACCCCAAAAAGGACAGGGGAAACACAAACACCAATCAACTGGGAGAAATTGTTTTTGACAGGACAAAAGATGATGACAAACCAGCACTGTCAGTAGAGGACAAAGACTTCATTGACATCATGGAGAAGGAGGTGTATCAAAATGAATGTAACAGCTGGGTGGCGCCTTTGCCATTCCGCTCTCCAAGACCAGAGCTTCCGAGTAACAGAGAGCAAGCATTCAAGCGCCTCCAATCTCTCAGAAAGACACTGGACCGGAACCCATGAAAAGACAATATATCGAATTCATTCAAAACATGCTGGACAATGATCATGCAGAAGTCGCTCCACATTTGGACTCAAACAAAGAACACTGGTACTTGCCATCCTTCGGTGTGTACCACCCACAAAAACCTAATCAGCTGAGAGTAGTCTTTGACTCAAGTGCAGAATTTGAAGGACAGTCCCTTAACAAAGTCTTATTAAGTGGACCTGACCTGAATAACACACTACTGGGTGTCCTTATGCGTTTTAGGAAAGAGCCTGTAGCATTTCCAGCTGATGTGCAACAAATGTTTTATTGTTTTGAAATGAGAGAGGATCACAGGGATTATCTGAGATTCCTTTGGTATGAAGATAATGATCCCGACCAAGGTATTTGTGACTATAGAATGAGGGTTCATGTTTTTGGGAATAGCCCTTCCCCAGCTGTGGCTATTTATTGTATGAGGCATGCTGCAGTCAAGGGAGAAGAAGAGCACGGACATGATGCAAAGCAGTTTGTAATGAGACATTTTTATGTTGATGATGGTCTCACATC